CCCCTCCCTCCCTTCCCAACACACTGCTCACATACGTACACATCTGCATAACAACACCAGCTTCTCTTCGCCGAGAAGAACGCATTCTTACTACATAACTGCATCTGCATCCCGAGCAAAGTCTTGTGCTGCTGCGTTCCTTCGAAACGTCACCGTCGATTGAAAATCGTGGACGCCCACAATGGGCAGGAGAAGAGCTGACACGCCCCAATAAATCATACAGCGACTCGCCGGGAGCTGTCCCAGACTGATCCCCCGGACCATAAACTCATAAACTGCCATAAACCATAGTAAACACAACCCAACCTTGGCCAGTCGTGTCTGGCAGGGCGAGAGGAGAAGGTCAGCGGTTGTCCACTCGGCAGCATGTGTTTTTTTGTTGATTTTTTTTTTACACTGAAAGATCTCTCCGTACCGTGAGGCATTTCTGTTGTTTGGTCCGTCGAGAAACGCGACTCAACACACTGACCTGGGCGGACAACTGTCTCCCGACTATATCCGAGTCCGCCCAAATGAGAAATAGTGACATCGTAAACGAATCCAAACCAATATCGACAAATTCGACATCGCACCGATTGCACTGTATGGAGACTTTAACGCAACGCGCGAGCTAGCTCGGAGAGGACGCTCACCTGTCTCTGATCTCCCAGCTGAAGATGCCCGGGTTGGCGCGGCGGTAGTCCTCGATGCGCTGCTCCACGTCGGGTGTGGCGATGCGCGGCTTGGAGCCGCCGATGACGCCCGGCCTGATGGAGCCCGTCTCCTGGTAGCGGTTGAGGATCTTGGACACGCAGCCGTGCGACACGCGCAGCTGGCGCGAGATGACGCAGGGCCGCACGCCCGCCGCCGCCATCTCCACGATCTTGAGGCGGATGTGGTTGGGCAGCGGGCGGCCGTTGATGAACACGCCGCCGAGCTGGTTCACGCGCCCCTGGCCTGCAACACGACATCAGATAGGGTCAACGACGGACGGGAGGCGCAAGGTGTGCACAGAGACCCATCAACCACAAGTCGCTCCTCGCAATCATACCCGTCTCCACCACTACCACCACCTCACCATCACCACCACCATATCACATCCACTTCCCGCAGAGCACCGCGGTAGTTTCGGACCTCAAGGCCGCCCTCGGTCCCGGGCCGCCGCTGGAGATCATCATCCGCAGTGTATATATCCCTGGCTGTTTCACGCGTCTGGGCGCCGCCGGCCGCCACCGCCGCGCCAAGCCACGCGGTCCGAGCGCGCCATCACGCGCCTTAATTAAGCAGCTAATCTAGTACGTGCCGCAGCACGCGCCCGCCGCGGGCCCCGCGGGCCGCACGGGAGCCGGCTGGGGCGCGGCGGGGCGCGGCGGGCGCGGCTGAAGGGGCCTGTGTTTGAGCGTGTGAGTGGGGGCACGCGCTGCGGGCGCGGCGGGCGCAGCGACACATAAAAGGAGCTCCACCCCGCTGCCGACGGCGCCGTCGCCATGTGGCTTCTCGAGTCGTTTGTCTCCACCCCCCACCCCGTGCCTTTCCCCTTTCCCCTCTTTTCTAGGGGGGCCCTTCGAAAAAAAATCTACACAACGCTCCGAAACTCTATACTCGGCGGCTTAACTTTAGCAGAGTTATTACAGAGACGTCCCCGCCGATGGCCGCCTTAATGGGGAGGACAGTGACTGATTGAGCTGCTAATTGCACCCCCGCTGCCCAGTGCAGTTCCTGGTAGAGGTGCCACCGGTCTACCTAGCGGCCGGCCGGCACCGCCCGGCCAGCGCCTAGCGGGGCTCTTTTCTTCCAGCGCATCCTCTCCCCGGCGACTTTCACCACCACCCCGCCCCCAGCAGTGTCTCGGCAGAGCCGAGGGTGCGGGCGACACCACGGCAACCCCCCGCGGCCCCCAGCGGCCCCCGCCTGCGGCCCCCGCTACCGGCTGCACCCGGTGAGTCACCAGCCCCTCGGACCCCCCGCGGCCGCTCGGACGCGGGCCCCCGCCGCCCCGCAGGATATCCAGGAAAACAATTACTCGGCAGAAACCTGGACGCGCGAGTCTCCTGCCGCGGCGGAGAGCGGATCAGAGCCGAGCTTGATGGAGCATTCAGGTGTCCGACGCTCCTAAGCCGGCCGGCCGGCCTCTCGCGTCGCCTCAGCCAGCAGCGCTGCTCTATCAAAAGTAACGCTTCTTTCTGGCCAGCGGCAGGACAAGCAAAGCAAGAAAATGTCAAAATGCGAAGACGTGCGCGTATGACAAAGAGCGTGTAGAAAAGGGAACCGTACGTCGTGGGCCGTAGTTAGCTCTGCCGGGAAGCGGTACTCGAAGGGGTGGGGAGAAGAGGGGGGGGGAGGAAGGAGCTCTCACAGAGCAAGTAGCAGGCGTGTTGTTTACAACTGCTGTCACAGCAATCCATCATAACTGTCAGCCCGGTTGTCACGTCACGGACATATGGACTGACATGCACACCGCACCTCCGCGCCACGCTCTACTGCTCCCTCGGGAGCTGCTCAGCACCATGCTCAGCACTCTCGCGGCCGAGGGGGTCGTGGCCGTATGGGAGCCCGCCCCGCCCCGCCGCCGCCTTGCCGTGCCGCAGCGGTCAGTTCTGGTCAGATGGAACGTGTGGACCCAACGAGGCGTGGAGCGTCAGTCACGCCCTTCACACGGAGAGGGAGAAAGACGAATGTGCAACAGGTGCGTGTGAGAATAGTATGGGAGAGGGACTGGGGAGAAACGCGTTGACAAAGCGACTTATTATACCGAAATTCAAATTTCTCCCTCACAACATTTGATACGACTCAACCGCCAAAGACATGATATTGTGTAAGTCCTAACAGCCCCCCCTCACCCTCCCACACTTCATTTTTCTCTCGTGTGCTCCTTCTGCCCCGGCTTTTTATTTCGACTAACACTAGTGTGATGTGGATCAGATCAAAAACGAGGACATTACAAAAACAAATTATTATTTTCATGCGTTTCGCTCTTCGATCGAGACAGGTGCATTGTTTCTTTGGGAGGGTGGGGGTGGCACGGAATCGGGCCCCTCGCTGGGTCGGGATCTTTGGGGGCTCGCAGCTCAAAGGGCGACCCCCCTCCCCCTCCTTCTTCTCGCCCTCTTCCCCTGCCCAACACCCCCTCCCCCTCCCCCTCTCTTCTTCACCCCGAAGACCATCGGGTAGAGAATGCCGGACCTGTCAACATGCTTGTATAGCTATTCAGGGAGGAGCGGTAATGTTTGGCATATTGATGTCCGTGAATGAAGAGGAAAGGCAATGCAGACCAAGTGGATATCTGCCCCCCCCCCCCGCCTCTCTCTCTATGTCTTTCCCTTTCCCTCTTTTTCCTGGGATCTTTAGCCCCGAAATCTTTAAACCTCGCTTAACAAAAAGGCAAATCAAAGAAATTGCAATAATCCTTCAGATAGGAGGTAATGGTATGCTAGCCCAACGCGCGTGACGTTTTCTTTTACGTGAGCTGAATCCTTCGCATCAGTATAAACAAAACGGAAAATAGGAAAGTAAGGATCAATTTTCAAATTGACTTCATAGTACGGAAACCGGCAAGCGTAAGGCACATCTGAACCAGTCTTGAACCACGAGAATATATTACTAGTGACCAGTAAAACAAATACCAGGTGACTGATTAACCCCGCGTACTTCTACAGTTATATGCATACTACCGAGTGTTGCAGATTTGCATACCCACGGGGCTATAGCGCCTTTCAGGCAGATCGGGTAGGAAAACCCGCAACACTGTCGTGTATTGCCGTTGCCGTTTCGCCTGACGGGCTGGGGAGTAGGCAACCTGCTGGCACGTAGGAATGCTGCAGAAGTGTACGGGGTTATCAGTTACCTAGTGCATAGCTTTTTACATCAGAAGTACAGGTAGGCCCATTCCATGACCACACTCTTATGCAGGATGCAGGAGCCGGTAACCCTACCGCACCTAGGGTTGTTTTGCTTGCGCTCCAGTGTTGCGGGATTGCATACTCGCTGGGCCCGCACGGGCCCATAGCGCTTCACAAGGAGTAGGCAAACCTACAGCACTGGTTCCCGACGAAAAGTCGCTGGAGAAGCCCTTCCTCCTGCGAAATGATGATACCACACAGACCCGTTGCGCTCAAGCTGAGCTCAGGACCACCACCACCACCACCCCGAAACCCGTCGCCACCCCTTGACAGGCACTCGGCCACCCTTCTTACACTATGGCATGCTTAGAAATCAATTGGGGGGTCACTTACACTCACCTTGGAAGGGGTATCCCGTGAAACAGGGCCTCATCATTCCAAAGTTGGTCACTGTCATCTTTTCTTCACGTTATTCACTGGCGGTCCTCTCTGTGCTGAACGGCTGGCCTCTGGCGTGGTCGCGGGTAATCCTTTAGCACTTGGGGGTCACTCACAGGCACTTTGTCATGGTGGTCACTGGTCACTGGTCACTGGATCACTCGCGGCACTCTGCGCTGCTCTCAGGTCCACGGCGCACGCGGCACGTCCTCTCGAGCCACAGGTCGGCAGGCGACTGGCCGTGCGGGCCGGGGCGGCGGGCGGAGCGCGCAGGACGGGGTGCTCGCCGGAGAGGACGCGGCCCTCCGCCGCCCCCTCCCCCCTCCACGGCGCGCGACCGGCCAATGGCGGGGCACGCCCGCGCCACCTCCAGCCGCCACTAGCCAATGGCGTGCGGCGTAGGAGTGGGGGGCGGCGGAGGGGGCGGGGGGCTACCGGTATCCCGGTATCGCTACCGCGGCCGCGCGCGTGTGTGGAAGCCTCTCTGAATGGCGCCGCTGCTAACCGCGCGGAAGTACCGATGATGAGGCAGGGGCATAAGTGATACGCGGCCCCCGCCGCGCACGGCGGCGACCCGCGGACTGCAGGGACTGCAGCTGCAACAGGAGCGCTGCGCCCCGCGGCCGTGCGTGGGGCCCAAACTAATCCATTGGTCGCAGTTCGCTGCTCCGGGGCTGGGGCTGAGGCCGGGGCAGAGGCCGCGGCTGCGGCCTGCGGCCGGGGCTGAGGCCGGGGCCGAAGACGTGGCCAAGGCGGAGTCTGAGGCCGTTGTGGCTGTGGTCGTGACTGAAGAAGGTGCGGATTCAAGGAGGGGCGGTCCCCCCCCTCCACCTCCTCCCCTCTATTGATCCGCCTGTAAGGTAGGCAAAAGGGTAAAAACCCTCCATGTATAGACAACCGGCAGTGCATCGCCCCGTGCACAGAGAAATGACCCCGCGGTTGAGGCTGAGAAAGGCCGCATCAGAGGCCGTGCAGGGCGATGTATAAGGTTCCACCAAGTGACTCACCTGCGCTCACCTCGGAGTAGTAGGGGTGGATTTCCCGTCCACCCCTATCCTAATCCCCCGTGATGTAGATTTTAGTGATTCCGAACCGAGCTGCCGAGCTGCTTTTGTTGACGGTATGGCGTGGACAAGGCCACTTGAATCAGCTTACAATACCACGAGTGGACGAGGACATACCAGGTGGCTGATTCACGCCACGCACTTCTGTAGGTATACTGTACCGCATGCACGAGTGCGGGCGGGCTTGCCTATCGCCCCTGTCCACGGCGCCTTTCGAGCCGAGCGAGTAGGCAACCCGCCCGCACTTGTGCATTTGGTACAGCATAACTACTAAAGTGTGCGGCGTGAATCAGCCACCTGGTATTTTCGAAGCCATAAGCAACGGTGCTTGTGGATGGTGACCTAGTACTGACTGCACGTACTACTACGTCTTCCGGAATTACGTCTGAGATGGTGTCGAGGCGTCCTCTCCCGCCCCCTCTCCCAGCACACACACACACACCCTCCGAGTTTATCTTCGGATCTTGGCCAGGCCACAAAACGTACACATGTCACCAGGATATGCCGTGCTTTCGCTACGGTCCTCTGCCTTCATATGTGAACTCTTGCTCTCTCTCTGTCACTCGGCCGCTGGGGCAGTGAGGGGGAGGGGGCTGCATCGCCGGGCCCCCGCGGGCCGCCCGGGAAAGGGGAAAAAAGTCAAATGTCGGCGAGCGGCTTTTGAAGTGCACCAAGAAGGAAGGGATGGAAAAAAGGAATGGGGTGCGCGAGCTGGGCGCGGCGGGGGCTGTGGGGGCGGAGGGGACAAGGGTGGCGAGGGCGCCCTGGCGGAAGGAAGTCCGGACGTAAGGGGCGGCCTCGGCCGGGGCACCTGGCGCAGCATCCAGCGCAGCCCCGGCCAGCATCACCCGGCCACTAAGGGTGAGGCAGGAGGCGGAAGTGGAAGTGGAAGTGCGCGGCGCGGCGCGGCGCGGCGGGGCGGGGGCCTGAGAGCAGAGGAATGAGAAACCCGCCCCGCCGGGCGACGCGCCCGCGCCGGCGCAAGTCGCCGGCAGAAGTGACAGGTGTTGGCGGGACGCGGGCGGGGCAGCAAGGCGTCGAGACTCGTGGACTCTTGGGCTCCTCGTCGCGTCGCGCGGACAGGCGCAGCGAATGGGGGCATACGCGGCCCTTCGGAACATGATCCCGCGCCGCCCCGCGCCGCCCCGCGCCGCCCCGCGCCGCCCCGCGCCGCCCCGCGCCGCCCCCTGAGCGACCCATGCCCTCCCGCCGCCGCGACGCGCACGTCCCGCCCCGCACTACACAGGTAGCGCCGTCACCCTCCGTCAGCTGAATGGGTGGACCGGAGCGGTGCCGACGGCCCCCCGCTGCACCGGCCGAGGCACCAGCGGACCGATAGGCAAGCCGATAGACCGGGCCCCGGTCACATTGAAACCGATTGAAACCGGGGAATAATGGTACAGGATGGCCCACATACTCTGGACGGGTCCGTAGTTCTACTGGGAAAACCAATGTGACAACATAGTGTGACATACACTCAGGTCACATTACATGGTTGGAGGTGTGACCAAAACTGGTCACACCAATTGATGTGACACAGGTCACAAAAGTTTTTCCAGTGCACGCGTTTGCCTTACTCGTTAGGGGCTATAAGGCGCCGTGCTGAGAGAAGGGTAGGCAAGCCCGCTCGCACGTCTGCATGCGGTACAGTATAACTGAATTGTGCTCCGGAGTCTGTGAATACTGCCATGCCATGCCACCCTGCATATAAATTAATTTCGATTGATTTAAAGATAAATAAATAAATGGTTTGCGTTGGGTGTGGGTGGGTCCACCTGATAGTATCAATGAACCACATGTTATATGCTGCTTGCTGACCGAGATCAAAGTTACATGTCAAACAAGGTGATATCCATTACATTTTTGAAACGACATTCGCAATGTTTAGTCGAAGGTGTTAAACATTTATTCTGCTTGTTACGAAAAAGTCACTCACTTGCAGAAGGTATATCCTAGACAAAAACTATTTTAACTAATTAGTGCGTACTTATTTCTCATTTTCCGCTGCTCTTGCATTACATGTGCGCTCTCGGACTCGGACACCCTTAGTAGCCGAATCAGTGGTGGACAATGGTCCGTGGACGGCCCTGCCGCTGCCCCGCGTCACCAGCGCGTCACAGCCATTCATTCACGCAAGCGGAGAACAAACAGACCAGGACCAGCTATAGGAGCCCCTTTCTCAATAGTTTTAACTTTCTTGGCTGTGCTGGCGGGTCTCATTGTCTGCTGCAGCCGGGCCCGGGCCTGGTCGAGGCGTGATTGAAAAGCAATTTCCTTCATAATGATGGCCCATAATCTCGCCAATATAACGGACAAGGCTCGCTCTCTCGACGTTATGAAAAGACGGACACGTTTCCCTTTTTTCTGACCATTTTTTTCCTACCCTCCCTCGCTCCAAAGTCCCCCCTCCCCCTCCCACTCGAGTCACCTTGGTCCTCCTCGCTATATAGACTATAGAACGAGGCCATCCCCGCGCGGTCGACGGCCCGGGGAGGTGATGGATGGTTCAGCGGGGGAGCCAAGAGCAGCCCCCCACCCCCTCCCGCGACACCCCCGCCCGCTACCCCTTCTCCCTCTCCATGATGTTGTATTGTTTCAGGTGACAATGCCTCACCCTACACGGACAGCGAGAGGGCCCCCGCCGGCACTGCTCCCGTCAGCTCGTAATCTATTCCGATAATGAGGCACCCGACAGAAAAATACACTAAAGGGTCTTTGCATTCGCTACCGATAAGTGTTAGTGTGTGACTCACACTTTTTCGAGGGCCATAGGTATGTTATGCGTACCCCTTTTTTGTAGTTTTGTGAGAACTTTCACACCTGGGATTAGGCAGTACCATTGCGTTTTAAAGTTTCACCTCAGTTTTTACCATTGTCACCCTCTCGGTCGTAGATAGAATGTGCATGCTTCGATGTGCGCTCCGTCACTCTAAAAAATAGCTTTGTAAATTTACAACATGTATTTTCTATTCACGATTTACAAAGTATGTCGTAAATTTACGACTGTCTATTTTTGCTCGTCAATTAATTCCAAGCCAATAATGGTGTTTTTGTAATTTTACAATTTTAAGTCGTAATGATGTTACAACTCACGTCATGGACAAATTTCTCATATAACCCATATAACCTTTACAAGAATTTCTCACAGTGGTAGGGCGCTCGGTATGCAGCACCACAACATTTTAAAATGACACGAAAAGGCCTTTAAAAATTGGTATTTAATTTGAAATACTTAGAGAGTAAACACTGAGAAAGGTCCTATCGCTCCCGTTCGACATCAATTTCAACGTCACCTTTTGGTAGTGCAGAGTGGGCCAGTGACAGTATGTAATGGGTCGGTTGTAAACCTGGCGAGGGGGCTGCCGGGCCTGAAGAGTGACAGCTCAGCCATCGGGCCATCGGGCCTTGGCATCCCCAGGAGAAATCTTTTGCGGAAAGTGAAAGGAAAGAACGGCAAGCCACGCCGCTGAGGCACGCCGTGCCACTCTTCCCGTCAATCGACGGCCCTTCCCGGGGTCCGATCGAAGTGTCAGCCAAGCCGCCCCGCCCCGCACCGGGGCGGATAATCGTCATCGGTCTGGAAGACAATCAGAACCGAAGAGAAACGGCAGCAGGGGCGGGGCTGCAGCGGTAGCAGCACGGTAGATGTTGTCTATTTACTGATAAAACCAAAACGGTAGTATATCGCGATAAGTTTGATGCAAGACAGTGCTCCAGTGCGCGATCCACAAAATTGTATAGGATTCCTTTACCTTGCCCACACTGCTGACCCCTGCACCCCCGCGCCTCCGCTCCCAGCCCCTTCCCCGCATAATGTGCTCCCATTACGGGCTGGCCACTCCGCGTCCCGCTCAAGTCGTCCTCATTTCATGCAGGTCGCATTATGCTCCTGCCCGACACGGTGACGGCCCGGTCATAAACCCTGCCACCCCACCCCC